TGGCTTCTCTCAAGAGTAGACTGTATTATATTCCCTAAATCATTGACCATAAGCTGAAATAAATCATTTACTTCCCAAGTTGCACTTTGTCAGAAAATTTTATTATAACAACAGTGAAAACAAGCAATAACATGCTGATTGTTTATATATATATATATATATAATTCAAATAAGTTAAATAGACATGGGTCTATTTTATTTACTGCCAGTGTTTTTGTATAATAATGTTTAATAAATATAAAATACAATATATGATTCATGGTTGGGAAACATCCATTAAACATTTGTTGAAAAATCTGTCTGATGGATGGGATAGTCTGAAGTTGAAAAGAGACACATACTGTAATATAGCTGATTTCCTGGGGAATAAAAAAAAACATTCATTGCTCTTTTATTTTAGTAATTACAGCATCTATGGCAACTAAATAAAAAAGAGTATAGAGATAGGTGACTAGATCAATGGGATTAGTGATAAAGCTATTGTCTCTTCCTAGGAGAAGGAAAGAGACATGTCTCCAAAAGCTCTTTCCTGGTTTTCCAACCATTATTACCTTCTACACTCCCCGAGTTCCAAATACTCTTGGGAGATTCTAGACTATATTAGTAGTAGAAGATTCACTGGGAGTGAGACTCTGTGAGGCACCTTCTATGAGGTCATCATCCATGATGGGGTGGCATGTTCCAGAGGTGTGGCTGTTTTGGGATCACTCTTGTTTTAAATAACCCTTCACCTATATTCAGTAAGTTCATTCAATGAATCATTGATTCTTCAATTTGGACTGTAGTAGAACTCTTGCTTTTTGTCTGTCATGTGTGCTCTTTCTGGGGTAAACAGACATTTGTTCACGCCTCCTTCTATAATGGTATCTCTTTTCTTGTTCTCCTCTACTCTTCCCAGACTCAATCTTCCTTCTCCCTTATGTCCTCCTCACACCTACTCTTCTCCCCTTCTCTTTCTACTAACTCCCTCTCCCCTCCCCAACCCTTTCAACTTTTCCAGGGGACCACATATGTCTCTCTTAGGGTCCTCCATGTTTCCTAGCTTCTCTGGCAGTGTAGATTATGGGCTGGTAATCCTTTGCTCTATGTCTAAAATCCGTATATGAGTTAGGACATACCATTTTTGTCTTGTTCTGATTGGGTTACTTCAGTCAGGATGATTTCTTCTAGTTCAATCCATTTTCCTTGGAATTTTAAGTTTCCATTGTGCTTTTCCCCTGAGTAGTACTCCATTGTGTAAGTGTATCACATTTTCTTTATCCATTCTTCAGTTGAAGGGCATCTAGGTTGCTTCCAGGTTCTGGCTATTACAAATATTGCTGCTATGAACATAGTTGAACAGATGTCCTTGTTATATGAATGTGCATCTTTTGGGTATATGCCTAAGAGTGGAATCTTGCTGGATCTTGTGGTAGACTGATTTCCATTTTCCTGAGGAGTTGCCAAACTGATTTCCAAAGTGGCTATATGAGTTTGCACTCCCATTATCAGTAGAGGAGTGTTCCCCTTTCTCCACATCCTCTCCATCATAAACTGTGTTTTTTTATTTTAGCCATTCTGACAAGAGAAAGATGGTATCTCAGAGTTGTTTTTATTTGCATTTCCCTGATGGCTAAGGATGTTGAACACTTTCTTATGTGTCTTTCAGCCATTTTAGATTCCTCTATTGTGATTTGTCTATTTAGTTCTGTACCTAAATTTTTAATTGGATTATTTGATGTTTTGGTGACTAGCTTCATGAGTTTTTTGTATATTTGGGAAATCATCCCTCTGTCAGTTTTGGGGTTGGTGAAGATCATCTCCCACTCTGTGGGCTGCTGTTTTGTCTTGTTGACTGTCTCCCTTGCATTACAGATGCTTCTCAGTTTCATGAGTTCCCATTAATTAATTGCTGATCTCAGTGTCTATGCTACTGATGTTGTGTTCATGAAGTAGCCTCCTGTACCAATTTATTCAAGGGTACCCCCCACACTTCTCAGAGGTTCAGTGTGGCTGGATTTATGTTGAGTTCTTTGATTCTTTGTGTTGTTTTCTTTGTATCTACTTTATTGATTTCAGCCCTCTATTTGATTTTTTCCTGGCATCTACTCCTCCTTTGTGAGTTTGCTTCCTTTGTTGTAGAGCTTTCAGTTGTGCTGTTAATTCTCTAGTGTAACAATTCTCCAGTTTCTTCATGTGTGCACTTAGTGTTATGAACTTTCATCTTAGCATTGCTTTCAAAGTGTCCCATAAGTTTGGGTATGTTGTGTCTTCATTCTCATTTAATTCTAGGAAGTTTTAATTTTTTTTTTTATTTCTCCCTTGACCTAAGAATGGGGCAATTGTGCACTCTTCAATTGCCATGAGTTTTAGTGTTTCTACAATTTGTGTGGTTGTTGAATTCTAACTTTAAATCATGGTGGTCCCATAAGATACAGGGGTTATTTCTATTTTTTGTTATCTGTTGAGGTTTGCTATTTTGCACTGTATATGTTTGATTTTAGAGAAGGTTCCATGTGGTGCTGAGAATGTATAATCTTTTTTGTTTTGATGCAATGTTCTATAGATGTCTCTTAAACCTAATTGGCTCATAGCTTATGTTATTTCCTTTTTTTTTTGTTAAGTTTCTGTCTGTTGGTTCTGTCTAGTGGTGAGAGTTGGGTGTTGAAGTCTCCCACTATAAGTATGTGAGGTCTTATGCGTGATTTGAGTTTTAGTAATGTTTCTTTTACAAATGTGTATGTCTTTTTATTTGGGGAATAGATGTTCAGAATTGAGACTTCACCTTGATTTGTGGCAAATATGAAATGACCTTCTCCATCTCTTTTGATTGATTTTAGTTTAAAGTCTAGTTTGTTAGATATTGCTACACTAGCTTGTTTTTTCAATTCACTTTATTGGAAAATATTTTCTCAAGCCTTAACTCTGAGGTACCTTCTGTCTTTGAAATTGAGGCATGCTTCTTGTATACAGCAGAAGCATGGATTCTTACCCATTCTGTTAGCCTCTCTTTTTATAGCCTAGTTAAGACCATTAATGTTGAGGGATATTAATAACCACTGATTCTTAATTCTTGTTTGTTTTGGATTTGGTGGTAGTGCTGCTATTATGTGTATATTTTCCCCCACCACTTTTTCTTTTTGCTGTTGGTAAAGTGGAATTATCTATTGCCTAGTTATTTGTGGGTGTAGTTAACTTCATTGGTTTGTAGTCTTCCTTCCAGTACTTTCTGTAAATCTCTATTAGTGGATATGTATTGTTTAAATCTGGATTCGTCAGGGGATATCTTGTTTTCTCCATCTATAGTGATTGAAAGTTTTGCAGGGTATAATAGTCTAGGTTGGCATCCATGGTCTCTTAATGTTGGAAGAATATCTGTCTAGTACCTTGTGGCTTTCAGAGTTTTCAGGGAGAATTCAGGTACAATTCCTATATGTTTGTCTTTATATGTTACTTGTCCTTTTTCCTTTGCTGCTCTTAATATTCTTTCTTTATTTTGTATGGTTGGTGTTTTAATTATTATGTTGTGAGGGGAATTGTTTGTGGTCCACTCTATTTGTTGTTCAGTATGTTTTTGTACTTTCATTCGCATGTCTTTGTTTATGATGGAAAAGTTTTCTCCTATGATTTTGTTGAATATGTGTTCTGTTCCTTTGAGGTGGGCTTCTTTGCCTTCTTCTATACCTATCATTCTTAGGTTTACCTTTTCATGGATTCTCATATTTCCTGGATATTTTGTGTTAGGGATTTGTTGTCCTTAAGATTTTCTTTGGTCTGTGAAACTATTTCTTCTAATGTATCTTCAATGCCTGAAATTCTCTCTTCCATCTCTTGTATTCTGTTGGTTATGATTGCATCTGTAGTTCCTGATCGTTTGCCCAGCTTTTCTATTACCAGCATTCCCCATGATGTGTTTATTTTATTGTTTCTATTTCAGCTTTCAAGCCTTGCATTGTTTCAATTGTTTCCTTCCATTGCCTGTTTTTTTTCTTGGCTTTCCTTGTTTTCTTTTAGTGATTTGTTTATTTCTTGCAATTTTTGGTATGCCTTTTCCTCCATCTCTTTAATTTTTTGTTATGTCTCCCATTTCTTTTCCCATTTCCTCTTGAATGTCTCTATCATCTTCATAAACATGTTTTTAGTGTTTTTAAAGTTCTCTTCTGTGTCATCTGTGTTGGGATGTTCAGTTCTTGGTTGTGTGGTGTCACTAGATTCTGCTGGTATCATATTGATCTTTCTGTTGTTGAATATGTTCTTATTCTGTCATCTTCCCATCCCTCCTTCCAGTGGGTACTGGTGGGGTCTCTCCCCCTCCTGGTGGGTAGGGGTCCAAGGTCCAAGGTTCTCTTCTGATGGGTGCAAGTAGGTACAATACTCTGATGTCTCTCCTCCTCCTCTTCCATGTGTGGAGGTGGGAGTAGCACTGGGAAGCTGGCAGACTCTGGATTGGCTGGTTTACTGGGATGGGGTCCCCCCATCCAACGCAGTTCCCCAGACCTCAGAAGGCTCTGTATAGAGCAACTGGAGGTGGGTTCATGATTAGTTTTATTATTTTGCCTCTTTTAGGTAATCATGTCACAATTCACATAAATGATTAATAAATATAATAAATGATTAATAAAAATAAAATGGCTTGCTACTTAGGAAATTAGATAAAAACAACATAAAAGGAAAAATCAGAAACTAATTTAAAGAAAACTTAGAATTTGCTGATCTTTTCAATTTCAAATCTCATTTCTAGTATTCATGTCTGACACATCTCCTTATCAGAGAGGAAAATACATTGACTATGTTTTAGTATTTCCTATATCCATAATAGTGATGTAAAACTGGTTTACCCATTACAGAAATCTTCTAACATGGCATAACTTCAGGAGAAAATTTCTTGTATCAAAACTTGAAATGCCTGGATACTTAAAGAGAGGGTATGGGAGAGATTCTTTTAACATCAGCTTTTAATAAATATTAACATAGATTTATACTGATGATATTTGTCACTAATCTCTGTACTTTTCTTTCAGGCCAAAGGAGCAAAGCGACATCATACAAACTAGAACTCATCCATATGTGGGAACCTTTGTGAAATTTTCTACCTTTGGTTTGCCAACTAAATCAGCTTTGATATTTGCCCTCCAGAGCAAGGAGACCTACTTCAAAGTTTGCTTCCAGGCTTATGTTTCACAGTGTTCATTCTTGCCAGTGAGTTGAACTAAAAGCCAGCTGGCAGTGCAGTACAAACCCTGGAATATATGTCCTTCATCCTCAAAGGATAACAAAAATGGAAAAAGTACATTTGGGCTGTGTTAGCCAACTCCTAAGTAGAAGTAGACTTACTCTGATTTGGAAGATTAACACAGAAGGAAAGAAAACCCAACACCTTCTCATCCAGTTGCCAAGGGCAACCAGTCTTTTTTGTAAATTCTGAGTTTCTATTTACAATGCAACTTTTTGAAGTGCTACCAGGTATTTACTGATTAGTCTTCTTGTCCCATGACTACAATGATATTGATGACTTCAAAAACAAATATGGAGAAAAGCCAATATCAAAAGCTAATGTGAAAATAGTAAATCAGTTTTTCTTAACTTATAAAGGAGAAAAATGAAAAAAAAAACCTTTAACAATACAGCTGTAAATAGTAAAACTCCAAAAGACAGCATAAACTATGATAGCCCTAATACTGGTGCCTCAGGAGGAACTGTCTGTATCCCTTATGGTGCTGGTTCTGTGAGCTGAAATAGTTAAGCCAGCTTACATTGTGAAACACAATCCTGCTGTATTGAAGTATGTTCGTAGAATTAGTCTGTTTTGTTCACCTCTTGGCCCAGACTAGCATACATGCACACATGTATGTAATGTGTGATTAATATGGATAGCTGCTAGAAAGCCCATGAGAAACTAGAATTTAATTGGTTCCCAAAATGAAGAATCCTGATTTATGTAAAATAATTTTAGATATGCAAAATTTACAGTCACTGATTCCATGGTAATAGTTTTTAAGTTTATGAATGATACCTTGTCTTTCTATTCCACAAGCATAACTGCTACTACACATGGGTAGCTGAAGAGTGTCAGTCAAAACAAAGAAGTGATGTATTGCTGAAGGCAAGTTTGTGTTCAACACCAAAGAAAACTGCAAATGAAAGATACTTGTCCATTCAAGCTTTTTTGTCTCTGTACGAGACCACTGTTAGACTACATCCATAATATACACAAACTGTTTTACTATTCACAATTTTCCTTATCATTTTCCTAACAATGCACCTAAAATCCTCACAATTCTATGTTCTAAACTTTGTATGCTGTTTTCTGATTGGAAAAATATGCCATTGTATGTGAATGATCATTTAACTTTTACATTGTGTCTGTGTTTCCATCTTTTAATGCTTACCGTTGGATCTATCATCTGCCTACACAATAAAAGCTCACTTCTGCTACATACCAGACCAATCCATTCAAGAGTAAAGGATTGTTAATTATGTTGTCATAATGTGCAAAACCTTCATCTGCTAGGTAGAAACTCTTAGGTTCTATAGAAAGTTATTTCTATAAAGTTATTTAGTATACTCATAGTTATTCTCCAAAATGAAGATGTGCACAAAGAAAAATTGATTATATGCACAGTAACATATAATTTATCAGAAACATCTATTATCATTATGAAGAAATTTGGAGCTAGAAGAGTTGTATCTCACATAGGTGGTGTAATCTCTATTTGCTACATCCCTTCTGTAATAGCTCAAGGCTGCTACTGGACTAAAAGGTTAAAAGTTATGGCCAAATAGATCTCTACTCTTCCAAATCTATGTAACAGAACCTTTGGTTTCCTTGACAGATTTGTTATCTAGTTTATAGAGATTTTTTTGTATAGATTCTTAGGTCAAAATTTCTATCAAAATTGAATACAGGTGCATGATATAAAGGGGAAAATTGGGAAAATGTGGGGAATTTAACTGGGGAATGATGGCAGAGTGATATAGAGGATGAGGAGTGGAGGAAAGAAACAAAGGTGATGGTTTTTTATAAGCATACTTTAACTTACTGTGTGTGAGTGGGTCTTTCTCTCTCTCTCTCTCTCTCTCTCTCTCTCTCTCTCTCTCTCTCTGTGTGTGTGTGTGTGTGTGTGTGTATAAAATACAGTTATGCCATATGCAGTGGTAATTCTTCCCCAAGGAGTAATAAACTATCTAGCAAAAACTCCAGTGCTAGGGATTTAAAACTTCCAGTCAATCATTTGGTCAAGGAATTCCAACAGGCACCCCCAAGCAATATTAGGCTATTTTTGCTCTTTGTGGTCTCTCAGAACTTGAAGGTAGGTCCCTAATACTGAAGATGCCATAGATTTCAGAAGCAGGCCTTGGGAAATTTGAGTGGGAGCTGGCCTGGAAGCTTCCTTCCTGCAAAATTGCTTTCATAGTAGCAGAAGGTAATTTGCCAAGGGAGAAAAGCCATCAGTAGTACAACCCAGAGGCAAAGCCTATAAACCACAAAAATGACTAGCATGGCAAAATATCTCCAGTGGTACAGTAATGACATTTTCATTTTGGAGGTAACCACAGCTTTTTAACTGGTCTTGAAAGTCTGGGGATTTCATGCCTGGTAATGTAAACCTATACAACTAACCATGGCTGGCAAGGTCATGTACCTTAGAGAATAACTCACTACAGCTATTTTCCTTAGCCAACATAATTTTTAATTGTATTCTAAATTTTTATCCTTATGCCCACAGATAAATGTAACTGTTACCCCTCAACAAAGAAGTTTCTCTTTGCAACAGCTAAAAATTATTACAGGGATTCATACATGGTAAAAATGTGAAAATACTAAGTAACCATAGTACATCTCCAGTTCAAGCCATGCACTGAGGCTCATGGGAAGAGGGGATGAAAGATTATCCTGAGGATCAGAATGTCAACTGTGATCTGACCTGGAAGTCCCATTTCCTAGAACTAGCTTTCATAGTACTAGAAGCTTCCATGTAAGCTTACAATAGAGGAAAGCAACCAATATTACTTCTCAGCCATGATGCTTATGAATCATAACAATGTCCAACATATCACAATAAGAATAAAGGTAAAACAGTGGCCGTATGCCTTGGACACAATAGGGGGGACTATACCCAGTACTGGAAACCTAGCCAATTTCTTAAACCTAGTGAAGTCATTAATCTACAACTTTATTAAACCAACATAATCCCTAAACACATTCTAAATATTTTGCATTATATCCACATATAAACATAGTTCTCAGCCTCGTGAAGGAAATTTCTCTTTACAATAAAGAGACCATTGCAGGACATCATGATTGATCAAAAATAGCATTGTAGAATCCAGCCCCAACTGACAGATCAGCAGTCCAACTCCTGTACTTAAGGACCAGGAATGTAAAAATCATAAAAGCCACACAAAAATGAATTTTGCTGTGAGTGTCTGTATCCAAGAAATGTGAGAGATCTACTCCCATGCATTCTAATCTACATGGCTGCAAAGTATGGCCTGAACAAAGGTGATACCAGTAAATATGCTAACATGGGAGAGGAAAAGCTCATTAGGCCTCAACCCTAGAGTAAGTTTTATAGGTAACTAAGGTAGTTGAGAGGAGGAGAAACAGTGTTCCCATGAGAAGAGCATAGCAGCTAATTAATTAATAATAAATGGTCAGCACTAAAAATATATACATATAAATAACACTATGTACTGAGCAGGTGGTATTCATATATTTAGAAATGCCCACCACATGTCTAACAGTCATGAAAGAAGAAATTTAATGGAGAATGATAAAGTGTTATAATCTAACACATTATATGAATGAATGAATAAATAAATAAATAAATAAATAAATAAATAAATAAATTGGTTAAAGCCAAATTTGGTGGTGGTTGCTTGTAGTCACAGCCTGTAGGTAACAAAAGCAGATGGATCTCTCTGTGAGTTGAGGACAGTTTGATGTACATAGTGAGAGCCCCATCTAAAAAGTTAAATATTAAGAAAGAAGTAGGTAGTATTGCATTCTTCTGTTACTTTGAAGGTTCACAACCTGCTTGTGTTAGCTCGTAGGTTGCTTTTCTTGGTTGAAAATCTACTTCTAGATAATTGGGCCTCTACCTTAGTGAGGTGTGTAAATTTAACCTCCTATAACCAGGACAGGCTTTCACAGAAGCTTGTAAGAAATTTCCTCTGGAGACTACAAAATCACTAAAAGGTCAAGCAAACTTTCCTACTTGTCAGAAGTTTCTACAACTTTGGGATAAAAGATATCTCTAGAAGGGTTCCCTTTAAAACGAAATAATGGAAATGCTCAAAGCATTAACATTTATATGCCTATAACATTTATTATTATGGAGAATTACTCATTTGCATAGTATTTTCACACTTAGGCTTCTAGTCGTAGTAGTTTTCTTTTTATAGAAGGGAAATCTGAGACAAAAAAATTAAGTAGATCAGCTAAAACATTGCATGTTCTCATAAAGATATGAAAGCCACTATCCCAATCCTAGCCTTGAATTTTTACACAATTGTTGTGGTTTGAATGAGAATGGCACCCATATGTTTGAATGCTTGTTTCTAAAGATAGTGAAACTGTTTGGGAAGAATTAGCAGGTGTGGCCTTGTTGAAGGAGGTGTGTCACTATTGGTGGATATTGTAGTTTCAAGAGCTACTCCATTTTAGTTGGCTTTCTTTCTGCATCCTGTTTATAGATGTGATGTAAGCTCTCTGCTACTACTCAAGTACCATGCCTGACTTTCTCCTACCATGATTGTCATGGATTCTAACACTATGGAACAGTAAGCCTCCAAATGAAATACTTTCTTTTATGTGTCTCTTTGTTATGGTGTCTTGCCACAGCAATAGAATATTTAATAAGAACATGCGATTATCTAAGGCTGAGTACCTTACATTTGCTTCTGTTACAGGGTAGTAAGACTAGTTATTCTAAACATATTCGCTATTGCATACACGGCTTACCTTCTAGAAAAATTGGTGATCATTATCCTTCTATATGTAGTAACATAAGTTTTACAGTATAAGAATATACAATGTGCAGCTGGAAATGTAGCATCTAACAGCATAGAAAGTGCTTGTTCTTTGAGTTTCTGTGGTTGAGATACCTTTCTGTTTGATATTGAGTAGGCTGCTAATATTCCCTTTGATTGAAATAATCAATAAAATTTCCTCTTCCTTTTATTCTTTTTTCTGTGTGCTTGTTTGTTTTAGATACAGGGTCTAACTATGTTGCTTTGGCTGTCCTGCTATGTAGAGCAGGCTTGCCTTGAATTTACAGACATCAGACTACCTTTGACTCACAAAATTCTGAGATTTAAGGCATGTAATACTATGCACAGTAAAGTTTGCCCTTTCTTTATTTTGTCTTTTATAATAAAAAAATTGGGTAATACTTGTAGTTAGGCTGAAAATGTGAGAACTGTGTTATACTGTGCTACCATGCTTTTTGTTGTAAGAGAAGATAAGTTCCTTTTTTTCTTTCTTTGTTTCTCTGTGTGTATTTCTGTCCTTTCCTGTGTGTGTGTGAATGTGTGTATGATTTGTATCTTTATTTTCCTTTTCATGTGTATGTGGTATGCATGTGGGCACACCCGTGGTTGTATGTGTGAGGAGACCTAAGGATGGTATCAGGGAAGATTCTTTGTCGATTGATCCTCCACCTCATACAATCACACCCAGAACTCACTGACAGGGCTAGTCAGACTAACCTACTTGCTTTAAAGGACCCCATATCAATCTTCAGATGCTGAAGTTTCAAATTGGTCACCATTCTCACTGGACATTCATATGGGTTCCAGGAATCAAAACTCTGTTCCTCTTGTTTTTGCATCAAGTGTTTCAACCAGTGAGCCACTTCTCTAGCTCTACAAGTCTGACCAGTTAAACCCCAGGTTAGATTTTTCCAGTGTTTATAAAAAGTTTAATTTATTGATACAATTCTTTATGGAAACATTTGAATATTCAATTTTTAAATTAGAAGCCATATGATGCCCACACCAAAAACAAACCATTTCCCATTAGTAATAATTTGAGTAAGTCTCAGAATTAGAGAATAAGTTGTTTGTGGGGTTTTTGAAATTGGAAAGTGATTAATGAAGAAGGAGAAGTCATCTCTTTCCTTGTGCTGATTTTGAGAAATTTTTTCCCCAAGAATAGGCATCACCACTTTGCTCCTATGAGTTCTAGAAACATGCTGTTAATATAAAAGCTTTTAAGTCTTTGATTCAACTGGTTTGACATTTAATTTATCACAGAAATTGAAAGAGCCAATATGGAAAAGGGTCATTGGCTGTGACCAAAAGCATAGAGATTATTACAACACTGTGAAGTATCTATTTCATAGAGCTTGTGTCTATGTCCTCTGTCTAAAGAGGCTTTGTCTTTATCTTATTTGTAGTTTTGATAATTAATCTATAACTTCCACTAGATTACTAAAATTTGTTCTGATTG